CACCCCCGGCCAACCTCCCGTGGTCCCTCCCCCAGCTGGTCCCCCCATCGGCCCTGATGGCTGGCTAGGCTGAGGGACCCCACCTGTGCATGAATTCGTGCACCAGGCCTCTAGTAGAAATATAAATACTTGGGAAGGAAACTGTTTACCATAAAGGAAAATGAAAAGAGTAATAATAAATTTAATTTTTAAATGAATTTAAGAGGTCTGAATTTAGAAAGGGAAACCCCTTTCTCAGTTTCTTTGTGAGGACATATTTGGAAGAGCATCCAATATTCAGAAACAAACTCATTTTAAAATGCAATTATGGAATATATAAGTAAAATGAGTTAAGTTTTGAGAGGAACAATGTGGGAAGATACCAATAAATATAAATTTTGTAACTCTAAGACATTGTGACAATTTGAAAAGTAAATTCTAGAGTTGAGAAACCATCATGGTGGAAATATGTAGTGCTTATTGTTAAAAGAAGATGAGGTTAAAAGAAACAAGATAAAATATTAAACTTAAGAATTTAGGCATTACCTCAGGGAAAAGCCTTGACAGTGAAAGGGAACTACTTAATCGCTAATAGCTAGCCTGGACCACACACTTAACTGCACTTTGGGAATCATCCTGCACAAATCAGGAAATAAACTTGACTTTTCTATTTCTCTCTGAAGCTTTTCAGGACATTAACCCACTCCCCTTTAAGCTGTAGCATCTTGATTCATACTATAATTCCAAAAATATGGTGATGGATTTTTTTAGGTTTCTTGAGTATTTTTGTATGAAGAATCATGTGTGATCTTTTTATAACCATACCATTCACTTAAATAATTCACAATGGGAATGGTTTAATTTAAAGGAAGACTTAACAGGAAGAAGATTAAAGGAAGCTTTTAGTCAGCCTGTGGCTAGATTTATTGATTTGGTAATCAGTCCTGTATTCTTTCCTGAATTTCAGCTGATGGCAAATTGTGGTCAAAGAATGGCTTTCAGTTAGTTTTGACTTCTTATAAATAATAATAAAAGAATGTCTTAGAAATTAGAAATCCTTTAAGAAGTAGAACAAATGTGGCAATTAGGACTCATTATATAAATTCCATTTTTTAAGTCTTTTTTAAAAATATATTTTTATTGATTTCAGAGTGGAAGGGAGAGAGAGAAACATCAATGGTGAGAGTCATTGATCAGTTGCCTCCTGCACACCCCACATGGGATCAAGCACGCAACCTGGGCATGTGCCCCTACTAGGAATCAAACCGTGATCTCCTGGTTCATAGGTCTACACTCAAGTACTGAGCCACGCCGGCCGGGCTCCATTTCTTTTTATAAGAAGAACAAACCATTATCATTTATTCAAGAGCCAAAGCCATTAAGATAAATCAAGTTATCAGCTTCCTGTCTCTGAAGTTTGGATCATTTTACAGATCCACATAATAGAGAGCTTCCTTCCTATGAAACCAAAACCTTGAGACCTAACTCATGAATAATATGCTTAGTTTTCATTTAAAATATTTTGTCATTTTAAGCTATAATTAGTCAAATCAGTTATGTATTGATTTTGGTAGACCAAATTTTATAGGAAAGTAGACTTATAAGATTCCTGGAGACAACACAAAGAAAACAATGCTGAAATTTAAAATAGCCTGTGTTAAAATAGTGCCCAAATGAATAAAAGATTTTAAGTAAATTATTTCTACTTTGGAGAAAAATCTTTATAATTTTGGTTTTATAACCAGTTTTACAATCATTTTTATTTCTAAAGAATGAACAGAAAGCACAAAGGGTTTACTTTTTTAAAATATATTTTTTATTGACTTCAGAGAGGAAGGGAGAGGGAGAGAGAGATAGAAACATCAATGATGAGAGAGAATCATTGATTGGCTTCCTCCTGCACGCTCCCTACTGGGGACTCAGCCTGCAACCTGGACATATGTTCTTGACTGGAATTGAACCAGGGACCCTTCAGTCCTCAGGCTAATGCTCTATCCACTGAGCCAAACTAGCTAGGGCAAAGGGTTTACTTTTTTAATGACCTGCTAGAAATGAGCAACCCTACAAGAATCTGTCTATACTATTCTAACAAATTAAGATATTGGGCACAAAATGGAGGTAACTTTTTTGATATGCATTGGTTTCTAATGGATATAACCCAATGGAAAGGGATTTGGTGCACATTAATCTGGTTTCAAATAAAGACAGAATCTTTTTTTTTTAAATTTTCAATAGGTTACTCAATCCTAAATCTTTTTGCCTTCATTTCCTGGCATATAAAATGTAGATAATACTTGTCACTTGACTTCTGAATTGTTCAGTTAAAGAGGTGACCCTTGGAGCATACTTGAAAATAATTTCTGTACAGCTGTTAAGTGCTAATGTGTTAATAGATTTTCAAAGTATCCCCTTAGTGGACCCTGCAGATTCACATTCACTCTTAGTCTGTAATAGATTTTCTTGGCTTGATGTAACAATAGAGATAATACATTTTGAATTGATGGTGTAGATTCTGCAATTAGATGAAGACTTGCAATTAAGATTTATGTAAAATTGATGTTTGCCTAAGTTATTTTAAAAGTTGATTACATTTGCAGGAAGTAAAGATACAGGCATACCTTATTTTATTGTGCTTCGCTTTATTACATTTTGCAGATTTGGGGGGTTTTTAATTGAAGGTTTGTGACAGTCTTGTGTCAAGCAAGTCTATTGGCATATTTTTTCTAGCAGTATTTGCTTATTTCGTGTCTGTGTCACATCTTGGTAATTCAATATTTCAACCTTTCATTGTTGTATTTGTTGTGATCTGTGATCAGTGATCTTTGTCAAATCTCAGCTGATGGTTAGCATTTTTAGTAATAGAATATATTTTAATTAAGGTATATACTTTTTAGACCTAATGCTATTGTACACTTAATACAATATAGTGTAAACATAACTTTTATATGACTGGGAACCCCTTTTTTTCATTTTGATATTCATTTTATTGCAGTAGTCTGGAATTGAACCTGCAATATCTCCAAGGTATGCCTGTAATCATTTTGCAGTGGTTATAATAAAATCTGAGCTTTCAGACTTGAGAGAGTGTAAAACTCAAGGAAGGTTACTTACAGTATGCTAACTTTGCTAGAATTGGACAAATTCTGTATAAACCAAGTATGAACTTGATATATACTTGAATATACAGAGTTTAAGTAATAACTTCACAAAGCTATTAGTGCCCTTGTCAATCAGGGTTGTATGATTCACCCCTTATCCAAAAAGAAGACTGTTGCCATTTTTATTTCAAATCCTGAAGTTGATTTCTTCTTGGATGTGATTTCAAATAAATTGATTTGAATAAATTTCTGTTTCTTCTTAATTAAAACTTCATATATAAAATCCAAAGGCTTTGTATTTTGCTTTTAAAACATTGTCCTTACATCATACATTAAACTAAGAATCTGAAAAAGAAATTTTAAAATCTATATTCTTACACATTTTCTCATTTATAATACATTCCTTTCAGTTTGTGGTGTGTCAGTTTGGGTCTTCCAAAATCAGATGTCACTATGTGATTAAATGCAAGAGATTTATCGGGGTGGGGCAATACCTATGAAGGATAAAACTGAAGGGAGGAGATAACCACAACCAAGGTACATGCCCTTGACCGGAATTGAACCATAGCAAATTGTAGGTCTGACATCTATGAAAGAAATGGAAGGATTGGATTGGGTGAGCAGAGTTAGGACAGTTCTAAAATAACTAGATGGCGATTTAGTTTCCAAGCAAGGGTTGTAAGAGCCTACCATGAATAAAACAAAATTTTAAAGATAACACTTTCCACAGACTTTATATTATTGCTTCAGGCTTCCTTAGGCTCCACAAGACTGCTGTTTCACTCCTCCTATGAGGGCAGGTTAGGTCGTTCACACTAATGGTGTCATTCTTTTTTTTTTAAATATATTTTTTTACAGAGAGGAAGGGACAGGGATAGAAACATCGATCAGCTGCCTCCTGCACACCTCCTACTGGGGATGTGCCCACAACCAAGGTACATGCCCTTGACCGGAATTGAACCTGGGACCCTTCAGTCCGCAGTCCGACGCTCTATCCACTGAGCCAAACCGGTTAGGGCAAATGGTATCATTCTTCATAGACCACTGCCCTTATCCAAAAATCTGCATTCCCAGGCTTAGGTATTTGAAGTTCCTCTATAGTTCATTTATTGGTATGAGAATTATGCGTGCAGTGCCACATATCTGGAGATAAATCTTCATTTAAGAAGTTTATAGTAGCCCTGGCCAGGTCGTTCTACTGATTGGAGCATCCTCCAGCTATGCCAAGGTTATAGGTTGGATCCCTGGTCAGGGCACATACAAAAGTCAAGCAATGAATGCATACATAAGTGGAACAACAAATTGATGTTTCTCTAAAATCAATCAATTATAAAGGTTTATAGTAAAATGTCCATCCATTGACCCAACTTAACAGCTACACAAGGACGCAAAACGTTATACGAATACAGCATACTCTTACATGTAAAATATATGTACATAGTTTGCACATGGAATTATGGCATCATGACTAGCCAGCAGATTCCGCTATTGTCCCTTTAGCTCTCACGTTTTGGCCAGAAGGTTCTCGCCCCCCAGTTGGGCCGCAAAGCGCGCTTCCTGGGCTGTAAAAGCCGCCCAGGGTAGGGAATCTAGAACCTGCCCGTGAGCCATTCCTGGAACCGTTTAGCAATTTCCGCCGGGCCGCCCGGACGTCACTAGCCACGGTCGTTTCCTCTGAGTGCTCGGAACTCCGGAAACTGAGGAGCTTTCCAGCCGTTCTCGGGAGAAAAAGAGCCGCCCGCCCGGGAGCGAGCGCGGGGAGCTGACGCGCCAGAGGGGCCGGCCGGGCCGCAGTGCCGCCGAGGGCCTGCGGGGGGCGCGCGCGGGCCCGCCCGAGGGGAGGGAGGAGCGCCCGCAGGGGCGGGGCGCGCGGCGCTGGTGCTTCCTGTTCCGGCGTCAGGAGGAGCCGCGCGCTGTTGGTGCTGCCGCTGCTGCTGGTGCTGGTGCTTCCGCCGCTGGTGTCGTGGTCGCCGCTGCCGTGAGTCAGGCTGCGCCTGGTTCCTCAGCTCTCGGTGTCCTCGGGCCCACCGCTGCGCCTCGACCTTGCTGCGGGCTCGGATCTGCCGGGTGAGGCTGCTTCGGCGCTAACAGGGGTCGGGGAGCGGGCGACGGAACGCGCCCGAGCGGGAGGCGGGAGGCGGGCGCGGTGACGGAGGTGCCGGAGTCGCTCTTCCGGGGCTAAGCGTATTTTTCCAGGCGTCTTCCTTGGGGCCCCGGGGGAGGCGTCGGAGACGGGAGGTCGCGCCCGACGGGTGTCTCCGCGCTTGACGTCAGGCCTGGCCTGTGGGGGCGGGGCGGGCGCGGGCGGCCCTTCCCCCACGCCGGGCCGGGCGGCGCGACCCGCTCCGAGGCCGGTTCGCTCCGGTTATCCGGGCGCCCTTTGTTCATGTGGCCCTACGGGGCCGCCGGCCGCGCGCCCCTGCCCCCCCCCCCCCCATTCATTTAATTCCTAATAATAAAGGGGAGACCTGGGCCTGCATAGGTTCTTGGCGGAATCTCTGACCCTTGCTTAGGATTACCCGCCGTGCGACCGCTTCCCGGCCTTCCTCACTAGAGGAGTTGCCAGCAAATACATGATGTTTAATGCCCATTAGAAACCGTAGAGTTGTATAATTAGTTTTGCTTTTTAGGGTTTAGGAGCGCTTATTAGGCATGGTAGCTTATAAGTAGCTGAACCATTTTCCTTTTTGAGAACCAAGAGTAGTGCTTTTCATAAATAAGAATTCTAATGTCGAAGCATCAAACCATACTCACCAGACCGGGAAAAAAAATGGTATGGCATTGCCGCTAAAGAAATACTCGCACACCGCGTGACTTTAAAGGCCTGTTTTGAAAAGGAACCCTTATTATAGGCGAAGTTGTCTTCAAAAATCTTTCAGAAGTTCTTTGTCCGGTCGTGGTCGTTGCGCAGGAAAACCAATTTTTTCTGGCCGCTGGCGTCTGCGACCCTCCTACTCAGGGAGTTTGTCTCGGAAACCCGAGTGGAGCTGCGAATGTCGGCGTGTTCTCCTCTCTCCTGGAGGAAGAGACCCATCTCTCAGCCGACAGCCTGGGCCCAGTGTGTTCTGAAGCTGAGAAATATTTTAACTTTATCTGTAGGTTTTGGAAACACGATAAAGTGCATGGACATAACACCCCCAGTGGTGTTGAGGCAGCAGCCCCTCATCTAACCCAACATTAATATTTGTGCAGCAGCCATAGGTGTGAATTCATGGGAACTAGAAATAGCCTCAGGTCAGGTTTTACCGCCAAATAAGTTTATGCCGAACTTGAGAGGCATCTCTTTGCATTTCAGAGGTTTCTGAGTTGAGAACTGTAGATCGAGCAGAGCGATTGTAAAAGGTAACACTGGGTGAGTGTTTGCTATACGCCAGCCAGTGCCCAAGAGATTTGTTTGCAAATCTGCAAGGTGGATACTGTTCCGGTCTCCTTTTCCTTCTGAGATTTGGAGAGTTGGTCTTGCTCAGAGCCAGCCAATGAAGAGCCGTGTTTTATCTAGTCAGTCATGCTTTTAGCATTTACTCTTTTAACCATATGCTATATGCCTGTATACAAAGGAAGACAAAAGAATATATCTGTTGCCACCCAATATTTTTCTAGCACTATTATAGGCACTTGATTTATGAGTCCCATTTAGACTCTCGCATTACTAGCCGGTTCTTTACAGTTGAAGATCTGAGGTTCATTCATTCAAGTAAGCTGACACTGACTGTCAAACACTCAGTCAAACCTTGGTCTAAAGGCCCTCTGCTAAGACTTTCATATCCTCCCCCCCTTTCTGTATTCTGTATTCCAACCCATCGGACCTGCTAACACCACCCACGAATCCTTCTTTACATCCCTCTCTCAGTCTTTGCAAAACTGCTCTCCTTTCCTAAGGCCTGTCCCACCATCCCCTGTTCATGGTTCTTTCAGACTGCAGAGGCACTGCTCCCTTCCTTTAGGAGCTCTTTGAAGTACCCCCTTAGTGCCCTGTGCTTACCCCAAGTAATGTTTAAGCACCAGACTGTGAACTTCTGAAGCATTTATTTCATCCAATACTATTCATTTTCCCAAAGCCTAGCACATATGTTCCAAGAAGTAGCTGAATATAGACAATATGGCTGACAGGTTGTTGGGAAATTGACGTTTTAAAATTATGTTCTAAAGAAGTTTAAAATGTTCCAAAACTTCCAAATTCCCAATTTCTTGTGTTGCCCAAATGTAGGATAGCTAAAAGAGCTAATACTAAAAACTCATATATTTTAAGTCAAAATTTATATATTCAATACAACATTTTACTATCATATCCCCCCCCCCCCAACTAAACAAATCATACCATAAATCCTGATTTCTCTTGACAGGAAGAACATTTTAATAAACATCTTACATGTTACTGATTATTAAATGTTACTTATAATTATCTGTGAAGCAGTGGAAATAACTTTCGCAGATGAAAACATGGATTCTGATTAAGCTTGCCTTTGTCAAAAGATTGAATTAAAAGGATTGATGTCCAGTCCTGGTGGGTGTGGCTTGGTTAGTTGGAGCATCCTGCCATGCACCAGAGGGTGGTGGGTTCGGTTCTGGTCAGGGCACATGCCTAGGTTGCAGGTTAGATCTGGTCTGGTTGCCTGCTGGAGGTAACAGATTGATGTTTCTCTCTCTCTCCCTCCCCCTCTTTCCCCTTCCTTCCTCTCTAAAATCAATTTTTAAAAAAAGGATAAGCAACTTCTTTAAAATGAATTCAAGTATTGGTGTCCAGTTTTTATAACTGAGTAGTCCCATACTGTTTTTCTCCACCACAATTTGGTGGCCTTTTGAAATATTTCTTGTCCGGTAGTCAACAACAGTTTGTGGAGTTCAACTTCCTTAAACCTTCCTGTGATTGAATTACCTTTTTTACCCTAAACGCCAGAGAAATTACAGAAATGTTTTACTTTTCTAGTGTATGTTAAAAGACATTTCGTACTCTATTTTAAAATCACTATTCTTGCTGCTCGTAAAATAAAATGATTATTTTTCAGTTGATGTATAGATCTTGCCATAAAGTGGTAGTGAAAGTTTTGGAGGAAATAGCTTTAGATTATTCCAAAAAGAAAAAATGAAAATCTTTCTTGATAATAAACCTTTTTTTTTCTTTTTGCCATTTTATGGTCGCATTGGCCTCATCTTAATTAGCATAATCCAGATGTTTTGGAATAGTTCAGAAAAATTGAAATTTTTTAACTTTCTACAACACTTCTCATGTTGAGACACTGATGTCCTGCTGAATTTTTTTTTTAACCTTTTTATGATGAAAGTATTCCCCAGAATGTAAGTTGGAATGTTTCAATTAATATGAACACTGTTCATTCTAGGTATGGGAGAGCAGGTCACTTTTTCCTGTGCAGTGATGTAGAACAGAAAATGACCTATTTCCGATTACTTTGGTCAGGACTTCATTATTTTAATGATATGATTCTAGTGCTTCCTCTGTCTTCCAGAATTTGATTTTGATTTAAAATTTTGAAAGACAGAATTGTGAGTCTATTTATGGGGTAACTTATGTATATATGTTTTTCAAAATCTAAAAGGGAAAAGAATAATTCTAAAAATCTGAACAGCAAGAACATATGAAATTGAATTGGTTGCTTTGTTAGTTCTCTGCTCCAAAATTAATGTGAACTTTGATACAGAAACATTTTCTGTTTCAGCAAGGCTTACCCTGTTTGAAAAGCATGTTAGTCTTATGTGGACTTTAAACTTGTCATTCACTGATAAAAGTTTCTTCGGGTGTTAGTCCTAGGAATTTACTATTGTGCAAGTGACTTTTAGTGTAAAACAAACCGTAACTTAGGAATGAATGGGTAATTATATTTGCTATACATTCAAGGTGTGTTTTTTCATATTCTGAACAAAAAGCAAGTTTATAGCAGTTGTGAATTAGTAGGCCTCATGTTCTGTTTCTTCATTCCTTATGAGAACCAAATCATCTATATATATAAAAGCCTAAGCAACCGTCCAACTGGTCGGTAGCTATGACACACAATGACCACCAGGGGGCAGACACTCAATGCAGGAGCGGAAACCACAGGCATGGAAACATGGAACAGACTGATGAATCTTAGAGGGAAGGGGGGAAGAAGGGAGGGAAAGAAGACATTAACCAAAGATCTTATATACATAATAGAGTCCTGGTGCAATGAGGTTCCTCAGCCTGGCCTGTGGGGATGGGGCCAAAACTGGCCCTGTGCATGGATTTGTGCACTGGTGGGGTCCCTTGGCCTGGCCTTCGGGGATCAGACCAAAACCAGCTCTCTGACTTCCCCCGAGGGGTCCTGGATTGCAAGACGGTGCAGGCCAGGCCAAGGGATTCCACCGTGCACGAATCCGTGCACCAGGCCTCTAGTACTTAATAAAACTCTTAAGAATTCAAGGATGGCTCAATATTAAGCAAAATATATGTTATCTACACTAATAAAAGAGAAACATGGTAATTAGCGTACGACCGCTACCCTTCCCATTGGCTAATCAGCATATCCTTATGCAAATTAACTGCGAGCCAAGATGGCAGCCGGCAGCCATGTACTGAAGTGAACAGGGAGGCTTGCTTGCTCCAGTGACGGCGGACTCCAATGTTCCCCGCCTGACTTGCCGGCCTCTCAGCTGCAACTCTAAGCAACTATGTTGCAAATATAGAAGCTAAACAAAACCCCAGAAACTGGCTTTCAGTCAGCCGGGCTTCAGCCAGCCTGACCACAACATTGTATCAATGTTTTCAGCAGTGAGGCCTCAGAGCTAAAGCTGGCCCAGAATAAAAAAAAGAAAAAAAGGAGTGTTTGGGAGCTTCAGTCACCCGCCAACCGGAAAACGGCCCTCAGCCCCTCAACCAGCCTGGCCAGGCACCCCAGTGGGGACCCCCACCCTGATCCAGGACACCCTTCAGGGCAAACCAGCCAGCCCCCACCCGTGCACCAGGCCTCTATCCTATATAGTAAAAGGGTAATATGCCTCCCTGCACCGGGATCACCAAGCA